GACTTATATGTAGTGATTTACTTGTATTATAGTCTGTGTTTCTATGTTCCTACAGTGCCACATTTGCACACAAGCAAATTCACTCACTCACTCTCTCGTTCCCTCTCTCACTCTCTAAATTCTAATACACATATCTATATTGTATTTTTCCATTGTTTGATTTTGTCTCAAACAGAACCCAGGATTTGACTTCAGTGGAGCGCAACTGAAGAAGGGTTACGACTCACCGAAAGGATCTGAAATAGAGGAATGGGAGAAGAAGCAGAAAGAAAAGCTAGAAGCAGCAGCAGATCAATGAAAGGAGGAATGGAAAACATTAGATACTGATAAATTAGTACAAAGTATATGATCTAAGTCAGTTTTATAAGTTTTACAGACTGTTATTGATTATTTTTATGCTATTTCTTATTCATGATTAATTATCACTTTTAGAGATGTATTTTTTTCATAATAATTATTATTATTACTAGATCCAATATTATCATTATTATTATAGTAAATTCTTTTTATATATTATTCTCTCTGCTTGGTAAATGATATTCATTAATAAGGTAGCTTCTTGAGTGTGTAATAGCATAATGATTTATTCGATGGTGCTGGTGGAAGATGCAACACTCAATATATAATTATTTATGTTATCATTGTTGTTATAGTTACTCCAACTCTATATAATGAAAATTTGAAACAGTTCATCAAAGCTTTTATATACGCCAATGAAAGAGACCCATGTTTTCATCTTTAGTAACTTTATTAAAGAAAAAAAAACAAACTTTCCCATTAATGATTCTAAAATTTGTAAGGTAGACATAAAGATTTAATTCCAGAGAATAATTTTGTTGTATCTCCTGATCATAAAGTTTTGATGTTGTATAACATATAATAGAATTGCATTTTAGCCGGATATCGACTCAGGAGAACAGAGTAATTAATTTTAAAGATTTTAAAGTTGGATTTATAAGCCTTTAAAATATTTCTTTCTTTTTTTTTCTTGAAATTGCTATGCTAATTTATTTTTGGTGTATGAATGATGTTTCCTTTAAAGGGATAGTAACTTACATGAGGCTTCAGATGGTATTACCAAGGATAGTGTTACAATACTCGATTTAGATTATCATTCCAGGATTTCATTATTGGTTATGATTATAATTCTGTTGTCCATAAAATGTGTGCCCTTTCTAGTACGGTTAAGGAAGAGGCTGCAATGAATGTCTGATATGCTGTAATAAGTATTGTGTGATATATTCTGAAAGAGGGTAATATTCTGATATACAGGTGTTTCTATATAACAATTATCTTTTGATTAGAATTAGCCTTTCATAAAAGTAAGAAATTACTTAGAATCAAAGTGCGATGTGTGAAATAAGACACATTTGATGTATGTGAATTATTGCCAAGAAAAATATATTATGAGAAGTCAAGATTGAACTTTTATTTCACATATACTTGTACAGTGTAAGAAAAATGTAATAAAAGTATAGATGCATACATGGGTGTGCAAGATGGTAAAATATATCACCCAGAACTTAATATATAGGCTTACTGGTAATGTATTCATGACTCAGGGCTTTGATTAAAGGAAGTTGAATGACAGATTAGCCTGACAGCAGGAATCGTGAAACTCTCTCTAAAAGAGGATTTGGAGGTCCTGATATCCGTGCAGGAGGACCCAGGTTACATGTCTTTAAGAATCTGTTCCATAAAGCCATGTCTTGAGACCATTTATAAAAGGTCTTTGTGGCAGATTAAGTGATACAGCTTGCAGGATCATACATACAACCAATAGCTACACTTCTTGTGCTTCATTTGTGGAACTTACTTTTTAGTTGGACTCCTGTAGAAAGTGTATGAACTAATTCCACAATGCTTGTTACATGATACACGTTTTGATACTACATCATTAGAAATACATTCTGACCAAATAATGATATATTAATGCATCATTTATGCCTACTGATATTAATAATGATAATGATAATAATGATAATAATAAGAAGAAATTACATCATTATTATCGTTATTACTGATGTTGCCATTATCATTGTTATTATTGTGATGATTATCATTATTACCATTGTTAGTATCATTATCATTATTATTATTATTATTATTATTATTATTATTATTATTATTATATTATTATTATTATTATTATTATTATTATTATTATTATTATTATTATGGTTGTTATTGTTATCATTATCATTATTATTATTAATTATTATTATTATTATTATTATTATTATTATTATTATTATTATTATTATTATTATGGTTATTATTATGTTATTATTATTATCATATTGTCATATTTTTGCTAATATTTTTTTCTTCTTCTTCTTCTTCTTTCTTCGTCTTCTTCTTCTTATTCTTATCTTATTATTATTATTGTTATTATTATATTATTATTATTGTTATTGTTATTATTTATTATTATTATTATTATTATTATTATTATTATTATTATTATTATTATTATTATTATTATTATTATTGTTGTTGT